GTGGTATTAATAAATAAATGAATCTAACAGTTTCAGTACGAGTGAACGACGTGCAATACAAATCGGCATTATCATTTTATCAGCACGAAGCAATAACAGATCACCTATGTGATCCGTCTTGTACGCTTATTGATATTTAGATTGGGGTGTACTTTGCAGTGATGTCTGGTGGCACGGCGCCGCCGTTGCCGCCGGCCTCGCGGCGCAGGTCGACGCCGGTCGGCAGCGCGTCCGGGTCCGCCACTGCCACCCCGTCAGCCGCCCAGCCAGCCGCCCAGCCAGCCGCCCAGCCAGCCACCACTCGCGTGAGCGGGGCCAAGCGGCCCAAGACTGGGGATAAACTAGGGAGGGTTGACGACGCACTTCAGAATTTAGAAAACGCTTTCGCTACTCTGTCCAACCCTAACTTGTCGTTCGGCCAATGGGTTGGTGCAGAAATGGAAGGTGTGCCGGAGCATCGTGTGTTTGCTCTAAAAATAGAAATAATGACCGCTATCATGAAGGCCAAGGAGGAGTGAGACAAAGCTCGTGTCATACAGGGTGGGCCAAAAAAATTGTGTCACTTTTCAGCAATAACCTCTCGAAAATGATAAAAGATACGAAGAAGAAACTCACAACTTTAAGAAAATGGTTTAAAAATTATACGACAGCCATTTTAGGGACAAGTTTTAATCGAACTGATGTTGCCATAATCATTGTGTCTCTGTGTGTCTTTTATTCGTGTATGTGCTCAAAGTGGGAACCTCCACGCTGAAGGCACATCTGAACGTGCTCCAGGAAGCTGGCGCCCACCCTCTCCGCGGTATCTGTTGGCACTTCCTGGCAGCTTCCTGGAGCACGTTCAGATGTGCCTTGAGCGTGGAGGTGCCCACTTCGAGCACATGCGCAAATACAAGCCACATATCCTTTTTAAATGATGGTGGCAACATCAGTTCCATTGGAACTTGTCCATGAAATGGGTATCATATAATTTGTCAAACGATTTTCTTTAAGTTGTGAAAGTTTCTTCTTCGTATTTTTTACCACTTTCGAGAAATTACTGCTGAAAAGTTACACAATTTTTTGGCCCACCCTGTATTTCCCTTATGTCATGAGATTTTGACGATGAATTATGAATTCGAATGACTTTGTCTGTCTGTTTGGTGTCTGACTTTTTGTCCTTAAATTATACTTTGTCCATCCGTCACCTGTGCTGTGATTTTTACGACGATTTTGTGACATTCATTGTAGTATCGTTTTAGGCATCATTCGGTGATTATTTTTCCTATGTAACTATGAGCTTGATGTCCCTCGTAAATGCTTTCCGGGGGTTAGTATTTGTTTTTGACTCGAAATGCTGGTCGCGGATTCATTCCAAGTTGTATGTCTTTCATGTTACCATATGGCTCTAACTCTCCTACATGTGTGACCAGTGATAATGGTATTTTGTTTTTGTTCAGATTTGTCTGTTTGTTTTTATATTTGTACATGATGCATATTGCATTACGTTGTCATTTGACGTTTGCCAATGTCTGTTAGCCCCAGCTGATGTTCCAATCTTTTACAATATAACACCAATCAGAGTAAACTTGTTATATTTGAAGTGCAGCAGTGGCGCATCTCATATTCAGCTTGCAACATTTGAGCTGACAAGTACGATAATGCCTCATTAACATCTCCTAACCCATGCACTTAGCGTATGAAGCTCACAGCACATGGAACTCTTGTACACATTTCCAAGACACGTGTCACACACTGACACACACCGACATCCGACAGCTTCCTACTCTTGCCAGGGCACGGCTCCCGGGCCCATGAAGAAGTGTGTGAACTGCTGTCGGATCTGCTCCGCCCGGACGGGGTAGTTGTGAGGGTGAGCCGCCAGACGGCCGCGGAGGTCCACCAGCGCGCCGCCCCCGCCACCGTTCGCCTGCTCAGCCTCCGTGCCGTCGACTCGGGGTGGTGCTCCGGCTGCGTCGTCACGGCGCAGGAAATTGTGCAGGATGCAGATGGTGTAGACCAGCTGGCAGGCGTGGTCCACGGAGACGTTGAGCGGCCGTGTCAGGAGTCGCCACATCTGGGACATGATGCCGAAGGCATTCTCCACCACGCGCCGTGCCCGGGACAGGCGGTAGTTAAAGACCGCCGCTGGCCGGCCGAGCCTGGCCTCGGTGCGGCCCGGGTACGGCCGCATGATGTTGGCGGTGAGAGGGAACGCCTCGTCCGCCACAAACACATGTGGCAGCGTCACCTCCGTGCCCGGGAGCGGCTTGGCTGGTGGCAGGCCGAGCGTCCCGTCCCTCAGCTTCTCAGCCAGGTCGCTGCGGCCGAAAATGCCGCCGTCGGACTCCCTCCCAGCGCTCCCCACCGACACGTACACGAAGCGGTAGTTACCGTCGACGGCAGCCAGAAGTACGGTGCTGAAAGTCTTCTTGTAGCTGAAGTACTCACTGCCTGAGTTTGCTGGTGCCTTGATCAGGACGTGCTTCCCGTCAATGGCCGCCACGCAGTTGGGGAAGTCCCACAGCTGGTTGAAGGCCGCTTCGCTCCGCCTCCAGGTGGCCTCGGTCGGGGCCGGCAGCACCTCCGGGCCGAGGACAGCCACGATGGCGGCACACGTGTCCCACACGATGGCTCGCACCGTCCGTTCGCCGAGTCGGTAGGTGGGCGCCAGCGCGGCGAACTCCATCCCTGAGGCGAGGTACCGGAGGGTGATGGCCAGACGCTGAGCCGGCTCGATGGGCTCTCGGAAGTTGGTGTGCTGGCGGGTGATCATCGGTCCGATTTTTGACAAGATCAGGTCAAACGAGTCGCGGCTCATCCGGAAATAGGTCTGGTGCCTATCCGGGTCCAGGAGTCGCAGCTCCTGCACGAGATGATAAAACTCGCCACGAGCTTTACGCCGCTGCAGCACGTCGGTCACCCATACTCGCCGACGTGGCCGCCGACGAGCGTGCTCCACAGCCACACGGAGCCGAGCCTGAGCCAGGCCGACACGTACATCCATAGTTACACTTTTACAGAACACTTGAACAATAAACGGTATGAAATACAATAAGAACAATAAACACAAAACGAACGTAGCCTATGTATACTTAACAATAACAAGAACGAAGACGGCAGCGTACGTATATATCAAGCTCCTGGAAAGTCGACAGAAAGCTATTGACGGCGCATATAAGATATCGCTGCAGAGTGCAGATGCCGGATGTCAATTGTTTGTTTATATCACTTTGGTAGCGATAAGGCATTACCAAACATTTAATATATTTTAGATCTCCCGAATTATCTGCATGCTTTGTATTTATGTTATATATCCGCATCATAACACAGCTACCATCATCCAAAAAAAATATGGTGAGCTATAATTATAAATGCAGAAAATACAATAATTCATCTGTAATTTTTGTTGTAATGTCTTATTTTATTTTAAATATTTCAGAAAATCATGGCGTCATCCATGCATCTCTCAATTCGTCACATTTGTCACAGTCTCCGTCCGTAGTCGGTGCGGTCTCCGCATGGTGTCCGTGAGCTCTCCGCATCCGGACCGCATCCGGACCGCATCCGGACCGGATGCGGCCAGCGTGCGGAGACATTCCGGACGGACTCCGGACGGAATTCCGCACCAGTGGACGGCGGCCTTAAATCAAACAAATTGTCCGATCAAAGAACAAAACGAACGTAAGTACTATCTATAAGTCTAATGAAGAAGTTAAACGGAATTGCTAACGTCATTGCCGCTCAATATGTCATTCAAGACGATCTATGAAAAGGACCCAACCAGTGCTGCGTAGTCGATGAAATTTCAGTGACTTTGGCTCCGATTCCGGTATCCAAATATCGACTCCGACTCTGACTCCGACTCTGCAGCCCTGGTAAGTCTGTGGAGTCGATGTCTTTTCGGTGACGTTCGACTCATACTCCGACTACAGCTTTTAAAAATCAACCGACTCCGAGTCGGAACAGAACCGCTGGCTCTGACTACGACTCCGCAGCCCTGGCATAAGATAGGCGCCTAAAACAACTTTGGTGTGTGATCTTCTTCGTACATTGTTAATGTTATTTTAAACAAGGAGTGGAAAAGGGAGACGAAGCCTTCACAAACAAGGATCTCCTGTTGCGGATCAATCAGCTGCTGGAACAAAAGGGCATAAACACCACGCATCTCATTTCATCGTTTTCCTAACGATTCTGCCCAATGTAAGCACTGATCAATGCAGTGCGAGCATCGATGTGACATTTGTGTACCAAGTTTGAGTGTTATCCGCCCAGCCGTTCTTGAGATATGGAAGCGGCACCCCGCACGTGCGCACGTGCAGTAGCACCTCCATAGTGACACATGGAAATGCATTGGCCACCGGGTGCCTAACTATTGACGAAGTTTCACTGTAATGGGCATTGGGCCCAGCCATTGCGGGGTTACTTTACGTGGAACAATTTCGACGCCCCTAAGTTGGCACGTGGCACGTGCCGTAACATTAACTAAGATGAAGAAAATCGGGCCGTGAATTCGGAGAAGAAGGAATAAGCGTACCAAATATGTATGACATATTGTCAAACATCATTGTCAAACAACCATTCTGACTCTCTGAGTAAATGACCATATAAAAGGTCGTACAAGCCGATGGGACTGGGCGTTTCAATACACACCGTCTTACGCATTTTATTTTTGTATTACCTAAAGCTGCTTGACGTTTTTGGCCTTCAAGCATTTAATACATTTTTTTTTGTCGTCTCAGGTCCAGTAAGATCACCTCCAACTCGTGGGAATATGCACTTCAAGCCAACTAACACACCACACCCACGTGTGTCATAATGCTGAGAGATGGCGTTCGCCTGGCTTGCTCCTAACTTACGATAATTCTCTCGCTAGATGGCAGGCCTGACCCCAATGTCGCGGATCCCAATGTTAATTTCCACGAGACACCAATCCAGTGTTATATCATCCATGATTTAACCAAAGCTGCAAACCGTAAACATAAACACATTTTGACATCCACTCTCTGTCCCATCGGCAGATGGCGACAAGTCCATTCCATTCTGGGACCAGGTGGTGCTGTGCTGCACGGACGACACCCGTATCGAAGCGGCCTTCGAGCGCAGTGTGGCGGCGCTGAGCCTACCCTCTGCGGCGCGGTACAGAGTGCTGCCCGACCCGCCTGGAGTCAGAATAGAGGGAGGAGGAGCCACCATGCACGCGCTGGCCAAACTGAGGGAGGAGTTCGGCGACCAGCTGGATGAAATGCGTGTGCTGGTGATACAGGCAGGTCAGTCAGGAGTGTTCGATCAGGTTTTTTGAAAGGTTACTGGTAATGAATGTTGAAAAACGTTTCATCATTTCAAAAGAAACATTACTGGGGCAAATTCGTTGGAACAACGGAGGGCATGCTGATTGCTGAGTAGCCTGGATTTTAACCGGGTTGTACCGTTTAGCGTCATCGACATTGGTAGGTGAAGTATGGCCGGACGATCGGACTTTGACTCATGAATGCTGAGCCGTGGCAGCATTTACAAGGTCCATCACTTGCGTCGTCTTTAGAGACCTTTCTTTAGGTTGATATTTCGTTTCCATTACCAGGCGGGTTCAGCAAGCGTCTGGTGCACCACGCCGTCCTGGGAAAGCTGTTCAGCGTGCTTCCCCTGGGCGAGCGCGGCCTGAGCGTGCTGGAGCTGAAGCTGGCCATGTACCTGCCGTTCGCGGCGCTGTTGCCCCGTGGCGGCATGCTCACCACCAGCTGCGACGACCTGCAGCTCTGCTGGCTGCCCGAGCAGCCGCCCGGTGAGTCGGCCCTCCCCGGATATTGGCTGATCGACGCCGAGACTTCAGGGGATGACTGGTGGTCTGGAGGGGGTTAGGGGGATAATACAGACCGGATGGTCAAAGATAGCCTAATCCTCAATATAATCTGAATAAAATGAAAAATAGCAAAATTCCAATCAAATATGCTCATAATCATCATGATTATTTTCCTCACAACGCTAAACTCTCTATAAAAAAATTGTTGTTTATTGGGGTTTTAGGGCGCGCCGACTGCAAAGGTCATTTTGCGCCCATAACGTCGCACCAATAAAACAAGTGTTTCAAAAGAAAGATAACTTAAGTACGATCATCAAATTCGATCATGGACACTTTAATCAACCAGGGTTACTTGTATTGTGTTCAGGCATACATCCGCCTTGGCTGTTTATCGAACGGATCCTGTTTTTTTTTTCGTTCACAGATGATCTGTTTCCGACGAAACCGGAAGGTTTTGTGACGCCGTCTCACCCGGCTCCGCTGTCGACGGCTGTCAACCACGGAGTGTACGTCCTGCCGCCCGGCGAGAAGTCCGGTAACCAGTACGTGTTCTCGGCCCCCTGTGAGGAGGTGCTGCAGAAACCCAGCGAGCAGCTGATGAGGGAGCGAGGCGCCGTCTTCATGCAAGGTGAGGCGATCGGCAGTGACAGTCATAGTTCGTAATATTGGTAAGGTCGTCTTGATTCTTGCACACGCCGATATGTAAGGCGTTTTGACATTTTATTACCTCACAATGACAATCATTTCGAAACTGATCGCTTCCGAAAGAAATGTCAGTGATTCTTTCTTGATTTTATCTTAGAAATCTGTCTGCTCCGTTTCCTCCCCACACGTCAGTTGAGTTCTTCCTCACCACCGGTGCGTCCCGTTCGCAGACGGCCGGGAGACGGTGCAGATTGACGGCGCCGTGTGGGCCGGGCCGGCCGCCATGCGCGCTCTGGAGGCGCTCTACGTCCGTCTGCGACCACTCAACGAGGAGGTGAGCGTGTGGCGCGACTTCCTGCCGTCGGGCGGCCGCCGCCGGCCCGGCCACTACGAGTCTGTGGAGGTGCCGCGGCTGCCGGCCGACTCGGCGCGCCGCATCACGTTCGACGCGCTGCTGGGCGTGCCGCTGACGGTGCTGGCCGTGCCTCGCTCGCGGTTCTACCACCTGGGCACGCTGCCCGAGTACCTGCACCACCTGGCCGGTGGCGGCGAGCTGGCGCGCGTGCTGCGCCTGCGCCGCTGGTGCCACGCGCGCGGCCAGCCGCAGGACGGGGTGGTGATGTACTCCGCTCTCTGCCCGCACAGCCGGGTGCCCGCTAGTGCCATGGTGGAGTTCTGCCGACTGCAGGAGGTGGAGGTGGGTGACGGCTCGCTGCTCAGCCACTGTCATATCGAGGGACCGGAGCGGGTGCCGGCGCACGTGCTGCTGCACACGGCGGCCGTGACGTGGCGCGGCCGCCGCCAGTACGTGGCGCTCGGTATGGGTATGCGGGACCCGGTGAAGGAGGCGCCGGCGCTGCTGGCCGGCCGGCCGGTGGGCCACACCGCCGGGCCGCTCTGGTCGGCGCGCCTGTTCGAGGCAGCCGACACGATGGCCCAGGCAGCCGCGGCGACCCTGCGGCGCCTGACTGAGGCCCAGCCGCAGGTCGCCGACGATCTCTGGAGCATGGAGGACGTGATGAAGCACTGGGACCCGATGGCCATGCTCGACTTCAGGGACGAGCTCGACAGACTGGTGGACGGCGTGGAGGCTGCAGACAAACTAGAAGCGGTGCGGAGCGAGATGCAGGGCTCGGGAGACTGCAAGCAGCGAGCGGAGCCGAATGGGGTGTGATGGGATCTCAGGGGTGCTATGGGATGCTTTCAGTGCCGTGCCAGTAGTTTTCAGGGAACACCTGTGCTGTGTGCGCACCAGGCTGTACATTATGTGGTGAAAACGAGCAGCATTGTCGCAAAATCGCCGCATGCTATTGAGGCGATATTACGGGTCATACCTTTTGATGCTTCCTCTTTGTGTGTGGGCATTAATTCGAACAATCAGGTTGTGCATTCCAGTAGCTTTACTGCCAGTATGTAGTATGTACCCTAGGGTTTGTGGCTTTCATTTTATACATCACCTGTGTGTGACTTCATTTTTGTGCTGTGCAAGCCAAATGTAAACAGTTTTAAAGGGGAAATCAATAAAGGAAAATGATTCATGTTTTTTTTTTGGGGGGGGCAATAGGCGCTCAACAGCAAATGATTATCGTACACGTCCAGACTCATTATTATCGTACCCAGCTCGACCAGAAGCAGGGTGATTGTCTCCAAATAGTGAAGTAGCTAAATTAGGCTTTAGGCTCAGTGAGATATACATATAGAGCAAGGTCTACAGTGTAATCGCGACCCACCGCAACGGGGACCGGCCGGGGGGGGGGAGGTCCAGCGTATCCAGTATCCACATCAACTGCTAGTCGATTGTCACAATAGCCAGCATGGTGCGTGTTTCCCAAAAATAATCGCGATATGACATCGGGTATCGCAATGTCATTTCGCAATTCGCATGTCATGTGAAGCTCGAATGTTACATCTCGAGGTCAATCTCCTGTCAGTGTCATGTCTCTTCTTTTCACCGTCCTACTCCCGGTCACATATTCTATGAAACGCTAGGGCAACTAAAACTCCCGGTCATTGTCATTGGCAGCTTCCTCCTCACGTGACGTCACCAGAGCTTGAAGTTTTTCCTTCACTAATGTTGAGCTATGGGAAAATCCCTGATTTTAGCCATTTTTCTAGCCGCATTATCTCAGGAACTATGAAACTCAAATCAAAACTTCTAATGTCATTTGAAAGCTAAATGGATTACCTTATGCATCCCGGGTCAGTTTTACTGAAGAAAAGTAGAGAAGTATGCAAAATATGCCACCGAAAGAAGTTCTACATCCCATTGACTAGCGTTGCTGTGTTGCTATCATTGAAATGAACGTCTGGCAATAACGTTTTTGGTTACCGGTGATAACAGCTGTTGATTTCCATGGAAAGTCGCGGTATTCATGTGCATCGAATTAGCAAACACTTGTGGTTCCAGGGCATATAATGTATATTTTGGCTGAGGGTCGCTGGTGTTTCGTCGGATCACTTCGGTTATAGAAGTGCATAACAATGCTGTACATAGATTCGATGCTGCTGATTTGCGGTTGCATAGCTGATCATCAATTAATTCTATTTTGATTGTATTTCCGATGAATGACATGCGAAAACAATCCCTTAAACGAAGACATCTATGACATCTGGCTTCCTCTATTACAATTCAAAACTGACTGAATGGATGGAAGCTGCATTAGGCAAGAGCACAGCCTTACAGATGAATATCAGTGATACGATGGAGGACATCTGGCTAGACAAACACCGGTCCGATTACCTCCAGACAGGACGGATCCTGATCTGTAACATTGTGCCGATCAGATGCGCCCCGCCGCTGTCGCCGGCAACCCAGGCAGCGGCACAGCGGCATAGGTCGATTCAATTTCAGATAGCACGATATGTGAAAGTGCACACATGCACAGTATGCAACCAATATCAAACGGGAGGTTCGATGAATGTCACAGCAGCATAGCTCCATTCTGTCCGACGGTACGCTATGTAACACTACGAAAACATACTCAGCATACCAGGGTACTCAAGTTGATTTCCATCTGAACGGTCGACTGGAAAATTCGGTGAATTCAAAGCCTACCTCAGGGTAGCTTGTGCGCTACATTATTTGAGCACGATATGGATGTAGACTGCATTTACATATCATCAGCTATATTAACTGCAACGCGTTTCACAGTACTTGTACTGCATCATCAGACAAATCACGAATGGCACACATTTGAGCATATTCAAGACACTTTAGCGAACACGTGAAACATATATGAACTCCGCCTCGACCTGATTTAACAGGTCTAAGCAGAGCTGGGAGGGGATCGTGAGTCCGCCGGCCGCGCTGCGCAGTCGAGTCCAGAGCGTCTGAACTGGCGCGTCCTCAGATGCCATCGCCAGCGCGCCGAAACTGGGGCCGCATTTTCTGGCGATGTAGCCGGCCAGATGCGCCATTGCACCTTCGGTGGCCGGCACACCAGTCTCAGCGTCCAGCGCCGCTGAGGGCGCAGGCGGTATATGCACTGTCTCGGCCTCCCGCAGTAGCTGCGCCCTCTCCTGCTCCGCCTCCTCCTCTGCGTCCGGGGCTGGCTCGTCAGGAACGGGCTCCAGGCTCTCCGTCCCCTCAGGAACTTCTTGGGGCGGCTCAGGGTATACCGCCTCCTGCACCTCCATCTGCGCCTGGTCGGCTTGGTCCTCATCTGCCTCCGGCTCTGCCCCCGCCTCCGCCTCCGCTGCTGGTACCGGGAGCGCCGCGGGTGAGCGACTCTTAATCTGCACGCCGTGGGCCCGTGACGCGCAAGCTGGATCAGAGTGAACAGGCGGAGGCGCCCCTTCACCTCTGTCGTCGTGGGATTGGGGCTTCCGCCGCCAGAGCCGCGGATGTGGCTGAACGAGCCCTAAAGCCGGTTCTGGGTGACGTGGCGGAGCAGCAGTTAGCAGTCCGGGCCAAAACGCTGCTGCACGTCAGCGAGCAGACCCCGCTCCACCTTCACTGTCACTACTAGACCCTTCTGGAACGGGAGGAGGTGACCAGCTGAGCCGACGCGCAGTCCCTCCACCTCTTCCACCAGCTTAGAGAGGGCGTCCTCCTGCCCGGGAGTACCGGAGCAGCCTCTCCGCAGTGTTTTGGCGTCCCTCGGATGGCCGAGCTGTTGAGGACGTCCATGCCGCTGTCAATGGTGAAGAGGAAGGCTGTCTCTTTCTCCTTTCCGGGCATGTACCGAGTACGTCTGTGCGGCCAGACCGCACGAAGCAGACAGCAGCTCGTAGGCGGGCCGGACTTTCTGTCGCGCCATTCCGGAGACCTGACAACAAATAGGGAAAAATGTGTTGGAGTTTCTCGATGTTGTGGCCTTTCACGTTACGCTCACGCTTAAATTATCGTATCGCATAAGATACGATGCGAGGCAATTAGGACGGCATAACATAATGCGTTTTTATGCGGCGCAGCATGACACGGCACACTCCATCATACAGGTAGAGGTTCAGCCGCGGAGCGTGTAGGTACAAAAAGAAACAAACAAATAAATCCCACCCTTTATACCTTACCTTACCTTACTTTGATCAGAATTTTGAAAGGCTCTTTGGCCTGTGGGGTACCGTTCTCATCGAGCTCGAGGCAACTTGAATGTCAAAACTCAGTCAGGCACTGAGTACCTGATGTTTGCCCAGTGGGCGTCCAGCCTGGATTTGAAGAGGTCTACAGAGGCAGCGCTCACGACCGAGAGGGGGAGACTATTCCAGTCGTTCACTACCCGCGCACCGAACGCTTGTCTTCTCGGTCTTGATTCGGCCCTCGGCTTCAGGAGTTTCCACGGGTGACCGCGGGTGCGCTGGACTGCTGCAAGAGTGAAGAAGTCCTCTGGAAGCAGGTCCATTCCGCCGTGGAGAACCTGGTACACTTGGATCATATCCCCGCGACGTCTTCGGTAGAATAGTGATGGAAGCTTCAGTGCCTCTAGTCGTTCCTCATATGGCAGGTGTCTGATAGAGCTTATAAAATTAAGTGTTTTATCCAGCAAAAACACTTAATTTATACTTTTTCTTGCACAACAATATTGTCAATGGTGTGGACAAAGGGCATAATAAAAGGGTAGTAAGTATCATGAGCCTGTTGACGCTGCAGCACCCCTATAAAACAAATAATCGAGAACAACAGGCATCATGATACCCATCTTTCTTTCAGAAACTGTGCAATCACTGAGCAGCTCTAAATTTAATAAGTACAATGGTATTTGCTTATGTGTAACTGACAACTGTACATATTTTTATTCAAGTTGCATTGAATCAATGCTTCCAAAAAATAGTTTATGGACAAGAAAGCAATGTGCATATTGGTCACTATTCACTAGCACGATTTTAATGCAGGTAAAATGTTATGCCTAATGGTCTAGTCATCCTGTGTACAAAGCATGCAAGATTTATTAGTCTTCCAAACAATCACAGCATTATTAAGGCAGAGCTAAGTCTGGAAAGGTAAATGTACATACTTACGCATTGATTCTGGCACCTGGTGTTTGAAAGCTGGCATCTTGGCATCCATCGCCAGTCCACCTCTGGTGAGGCGAGACGCTCACCACCACAGGACCTTGGAGCGCAGAGCTGCTCTGGATGGGCCACGCCCAGACTGAAAAAAATACATCAAATATGTTTGGCGTAATGGCAGAATTGCGCCAAAAATTTCAGCACAAGTCTCAGCCTGGCGCAATTTCGCATGCGCCAAATTCAGTGCATGGTGGCCGCTGAATTTTTCGGCGCACGGCTGCAGCAGAATTTTACTGCAAATGGTGGTCACCAAATTTTTCAGCACGCTGGTCAATCTAGCAGCAGACTCATCCTGCGAGCGGGTCTGAAGAGGGTCTGAACTTCCGGCCAGGGGCTTGTTTTATTGGGGCTTACATTTGCGCCTCTATGTTGTACTCTTAAAGGCAGGGAACCCCAAACAGGTAAGTTGAACAGGTGAGTTCTTTGATGTTTCACAGCACGACCCCAGCTTTCAGCGCGAATGATGCAGAAATTTCAGCTCAAAATTGCTTGCATTGAATTTCAGCGGGTGGTTAATATGTATATCATACCTACTGAACCAAAACTCCACCACAATTCAAATAAATAACTAGCTTTTACCACAAATCAACATAAGCACAGAGACTGATATATGTTTACATTACATTTTTCCCATTACCAACAAGGTCAAGTTTACGTGAAAGTAGTAAATTGTTTCACTCAACCTTTGATGACATCAATTCTTTTTTCAAGATATTTAAAGCACTGACAAAAACAAAGCTTATTTGTAAATACAAAGTAATAATTATATTACGGTTAAAAAGTAAAAACAAAAACACAAAAATCATCAAAAACTGTAATAAAATAATAATTACGTCATATATTGTAAAAAGTATCCTCATGCTAAAAGCATGCGCCAGAGATGTCTTTGCTGCGCATTATCCGTCACAAATCCTGGGCTGCCAAATGACCATACCCTGTAAACTTACCCCTCTTCCCGTGAAATTCGATCCCCGGATGTGTGACATAGAACCCGGTCAGATTGGCTCCGACGCGACGCTAACTCGCCTGTAACTTGCTAGTTTGTGCCTGAGATCACTCGAATGAGCCTCTTGATAGCTCACAATACGCTAGTTCGTGCTCCAAGGACGCTCACGTCATCCACAGGCCAGAAAAAAGTCAGTAAACGATGATATTTACACGTAATATTCATTTCAAATGACATCCATTCAGATCAACAGGGTATTTTGCACTCAAACAATGACTCCCACTCGCATTAAAATCTAGTCGCTACTCTCCTCTCACGCTATTCCAGGCGCCGCTTGAGGAGAATGACCAATGGTGGTCAATATAACAGGAAATTCGGAAGTAACTGGTTGCAACGAGTCAACGACAGAACACGAGACATATAAGGCATGCAGCGATACGCGTAATGAACAGCATATCCTCAAATCCTTAATCCACAAGAGATCGTTCAGATAAAGCGAAAGTTTCAGAAGAAGACGATGATATTTGGAATGTTTAGCGCAATGAATGTGCTGGCCCCGCAATGGGCTAGTATGATGGTGGTCCCGCGTTTATCCAAAGTATGAATATGTTGGCCCCGCATTGGTTCACGACTTACGCCTAACTAGCAGCCACTCCATCCACTCTAAAAGGCCCTCGGCCTCACATAACGCCCGCTCGTGTTCGCTAATCGTCGCGGTGAACTGCTCGGCATCCCTTCATCGTTCGCCTGTCGCGCCACTGATCGTCGCCGTTCTTGAGTCACCCCAATGACGCCGCCTGTCGCCATTTTATTACCCATTCGTCATATCGCAGCGGCCGCCACCGTCGGCTGCCCTCCTACTCTCCGGCACAACCCACGACACTCTCATCCCGTCCGCGTCTCACTTTTTCTCCTTTCCGGCCTTTGAGCTGATGCTGTGGATCATGTCCTGGATTTTCCGCAGCGCCCGGTTGTCCTCCAGCAGTTCGGCACACTCGGCGTCCTTCTCAGCCAGGCTGCGCTCCTGGGACTTGCAGAGCAGCTCCAGGTTGGTGACCTCCGTGCGCAGCGCGGCCGCCTGCTGCTCCTGCTGGTGCAGCGCGCGAGACGTCTCCTGCAGGCGACTCTCTTGCTCCTGAAGCGCTGCCTCCTGACGCTGACGGGCCGCGCTCAGCTCTGTGGAAGAGAGGCGTAGGGTTTAAACTGGACCCTTGGAGATGAAAACTAGCTTCAGGGTAAAAACTCACACTAGTGCAGAGTTTGGCTTCAGAACAAAAATAGTTATTTGATGACGAGTGTAATGTTTGCTGAAGCCTGAACTTGTATTGCTGTCTCCAACTCTCAGGCCTCACACACCCGGCGCAGCTCACTCTGGCCCGGGTGTGTGAGGCCTGAGAGTTGGAGACAGCAATACAAGTTCAGCAAACATTACAACGAGCAATGCGATTAGCAAGGTAACAACACATTTGCGAGACTATTTCAGGTGGCCAGCAAAGTCAGCATAAGCGATAAATCACCATCGTGCACTCTCAGCACTCAGTATCAGAAAGAAGACATTACATTCAACCGAAATAAGCGTCATTTCTGCTGCACAGCAGCTGAACTTCTGAACAGCAGCGGCTGTTCCGTACCCTCCCCCGCGCTCTTACCCTGTTTCTCTGCGGTGAGCGCGGCCACCTGTTCGGCCAGCGCGGCGCGGCGCGCCTCCGTCTCCGTCACCGCCTGCTGGGCGGTGCGCAGACTCTCGGAGCGTGCCGTCAGCTCGCGCTCCAGCCGCTGGGCGGCCGCGTGCTGCTGCTGCGTCTCGCGCTGGCACTGGTCGCGCTCCTGGCGCACCCGGGTCAGCTGGGCGTCGGCGGTGGCCAGCCGCGCCTCGGCCGTCCGGCTGGCGGAGTGGAGGGACTCGACGCGCCGCTCGGCGGCCACCAGCAGCCGGCGCACCGCCGCGTTCTGACCGTCCCGGGAGGGGCGGTCAGTGGGGAGCAGGGGTGTCTGGTATGGGAGACGAGAGCAGTTTACAGTGGGGAGGGAACGTCCGGTCTGACCTCCGATAACATTGGTCGATCATGCATGGACTTCAGCCGCGGACCTGTGTCGGTATATCGTGTACTTGCTAGCCTAAATTTCTCGTTGCATTGCTCCCCTTTTGGCTGCGCCGATTCTTATGTGCCCTGTACGGATCTCTGCCAATTCTTATGCAGTATGCACTATCAATCATTATGTACCGACTAACTCCTGCCGATGACGTTTAATATGCACCCTATTCCGACCCCTGCGGCGGCCTGTACCTCCTGCCACCCTACGCTGCCCCCGTGTACTATGCACTAACCTCAGCGGCGGACTGGGCCCCCTGCAGTCGCAGAGAGGTGGTGAGAGTCGAGGCGGCTTGCAGCGCCTGCTCCAGCTCTGCCACCGTCTCGGTGAGCGCGGCCACCTTGAATTCATACAGCTCCATCGTGTCCACCAGAGAGACGCTCTCCTTCGTCTGGGAACGCGGTGGGGTAGATTAGACAGTGTCCACCAGTAGGGACGGGGCGAGTGGGGTGGGTTAGTGTCCACTAGAGAGACGCTCTACTTCGTCTGGGGACGAGGGGGGGGGGGGGTATTAGACACCGTTTACCACCGAAACGCTCCCCTTCGCCTTCGCCCTTCGGGATGGGACCGGCGGCGGTTAAGGGACGGGGGAGTGAGGGACGGAACTGGATGGATTAAATCAGATATTTGTCCATCAGCTAGAAGCCCTTCTTCGTTTGAAGACAGAGGTCGAGGGATGAACGAGAGAGAATGAAACCCGTAGTACAGTCCCTAACAACCATAATTTTGAACGGTGTCAGTCCAGAACAACATCGCCATTCATCCGTTAAATAATTTCTTTATCACCGCTCTCATTTTTACTTGAGTGATAGTTAACCAAACGCCATGCCTCCTACCACAGCAGCTCCCCCTCCCTTCCACCAGCCGTCCCACTGACGGCCCGTGACTCACGTCTCCCCGCTCCTGCTGCAGCCGCGCCAGCACCGCGTCCACCCGCTCCACGGTCGTCTGGCTCAGTTCGATCGGCGGCCGGTAGGGCGGCGCCACCGCCACGTCCCCGGCCGTCGCCGCCGCCGCCGCGCCGGCGCGCTGACACGACAGCGAGTCGGTCAGCTGCTGCACGCTGTCCAAACAGAGGGGTGGGGTCAGTGCGCGATCATGGGACGCAGTTCATTCGTGAGCGACAAAACCGTAGATGGTGATTATTAGAACAGAAACCCATCTTTCAATTCAACTTCGACAAAATGATTCGTTCGCCATTCATTCGAAACAACTCTCCCTCTCAAGTCTCACCGTTCCAGGGCACTGGATATTCCAAAGAGTCACTGCCCGTCACACCGTTCCGTGCTTCTATCCTCATGATACAGAAATCCTTCTCCTCCACGCCGCAACCCCCTCCGGGCTGGACAGGCAACTTTATCTCATGCGGGCTGCTCCCTTGGAGCGGCACCGCTGCTCCCGAGGGAGCGCACCTCGTAGCCGGGTGCAGTGAGTGCCTTGGGGCTGGGTGGCCTGTCCTCTGGACAGGCTCAGCCCCGGCGACTCACTAGGGTGCCTGCCCAGACCAATGTCTCCCCCTATATCCTATCATCCTTCCGGCTCTGAAATGGTCTAATTGGACCGAAAGGGCCTAACCCAACAAAACAAAACAAAACAAAACAAAACAAAACAAAACAAAACAAAACAAAACAAAATCACTGCCCGTACCTGTCCTCATGCAGACTGCCGGCACAGAGGAGCCGCAGCGCCCTCTGCACCAGGTCCCGGTCGTCGGCCGACAGCGCGCAGCCCAGCCAGGCCAGCAGGCGCGCGTCACGCAGCAGCTCCAGCTGCGCCTCCAGCCAGCCGGCGCTCTGGGGAACAGCGGGGGGACGAACTCGGATCAGGTTAATAGCTGTGGGACGACGAACAGGAGCGAGTGGAATAACGAAAACCTATTTTGGACGGGCTGTGTTTTACAATAAAATATAACGATAATCCATCCTACTTCGCAGTTAAGAAATTACAACACAACACAACTAAGGAGAATTAGGGCCACGCTATGCTATCGTTCCCCAGGCACTGGCTATCGACGCCCGTTCAGCGCTCACCTCGTTGGCCAGGGCGCGCGCCAGCTCCAGCGCGCCGACCACCACCTCAGCAGCCGTGTAGTGGCGGGGCCGGCCGTCCGGTACCGGCGGCAGCGGCCGCAGCAGGCGCACCAGCAGCTCGGGCCGCCAGCGCTCGGCCAGCGGCGCGCGGCAGCCGGTGTGCGCCGCCATCGCGGCCAGCAGCGCGGTGACGGCGCGCGCCCGGCGGCAGTTGGTGTCCGGATCGGCGGCCGGCGCCGGCTCGGCGCTCAGCAGCCGCTCCAGGCCGGCGAGCGCGGCGGCCAGCTCCCCGCCGTCGGGCGGCAGTAGCTGCCGGTGCAGGGCGGCCTCCAGGAGACCGGCGGCCGCCTCCACCGCCTCTGGCTGGTCCATCAGGCGAGCCGCCAGGCCACAGACGGGCCGCCAGACGTCCGCGCCGCCGGCGCCGCGGCGCACCAGCGCAGACAGCGGCCGCAGGATCAGACCGGCCTGGTGGTGGCGCTCAGGAGTCACCTGAGGGGGAGGGAGATGGCGGTCAGTTGAGCAAAAGAACTGAGATACGAACGGATATAAACTAATTCCGGTACACTTCCAGCCCACGACGCCCAACCCCGAAGCATCTCCAGTCCACAACGCTGCCTGCTCGTCTCGGCGTCACTCACCTGCTCGACGAGCTGTTTGACTGCCGGCGCCAGCCTGTCCTCGTACGTCTCAGCGGCCAGCTCAGAGACCAGCGACTCGAGCAGCCGGCCGGCCTGGCGCATCAGCTTCACATCACCTCCGGCCAGTCCGTCGGCCAGGGCCGCCCACACGAGGTCGAGAAAGGCGCGCAGCTGCTGTCCGGGCAGCGGCTGGTGCGCCGGGGTGACGGCCAGCAGCAGCTCAGCCGCCTGCAGCTGCTCCAGCCGGCCCGACTCGGTGCTCAGCAGCGCCTTGGCCAGCCGCTTGCGCTGTCCGGCGGCCAGCAGCGCGTCTGAGGCGGCCGGCGTGCAGCGAGTCAGGTGGTAGAGCGCGCGCAGTGCCGCCGCTGCCGACTCGCCGCGCTCACACACCAGCTCAGAGAGGGTGCGCAGCAGAGGGCCCACGAACGGCTCGAACCTGGCGGACACGAGCCACGAGGTCTCAGGCGGTCGCAAAGAAGCGGAGACCGAGATCACATAGCACAGAGAACACTATTGGAAAGAAATGTCTTGTTGAAAGCAAATAGTAGGGTTCCACGAGGGTCATTAGAAGCGCGCCTATATATGCGTGAAATAGTTATCTTTCACGAGATACTTTCTCATCTTTCGATTACAGTCCAGTACTGTCCACCAAATACACCGTGCTCAGCATCTTATTCGTCTAACAGCGACTGACCTGTCCAATGTGCCCTGTCCACTGACCTGTCCAGTGTGATGTCGGCCGTCAGCGCCTCGGTGACGGAGAGCAACAGCGTGGTCCGGTCCCCCTCCGGACGGGAGACCAGCATCCCGGCCACCAGCGGCAGAAAACAGTACCTGCGAGCGCACAGCAGAGTAAATATAATCATACGGGACACCAGCATCCCGGCCACCAGCGGCAGGAAACAGTACCTGCGAAGGCACAGCGGTGTCAATACAAACACTGGTCCCTCTGGGACGGGACACCAGCATACCGGCCACCAGCGGCAGAAAACAGTACCTGCGAGCGCACAGCAGAGTAAATATAATCATACGGGACACCAGCATCCCGGCCACCAGCGGCAGGAAACAGTACCTGCGAAGGCACAGCGGTGTCAATACAAACAATGCGGGACACGAGCATACCAGCCAGCACAGGCAGGAAACAGTAGGTAACTGCGCGGGTACGGCGCACGGGTTTAATAGCAAACGATGCACTCCGGGGTTGGTAGCTTTTGTCGGCTTCGCGAGCACGGCGTTCGTGGCATGGCTGTTACGACCCGATAGATGAAGAGAAAGACAACAGAAAAATTTACTCGTAAAAAAAGACTGGTAGACGGTCGTTCAGTACTATTTCTCCAGATGCGAACACTCTGATCTTCTCAGTCTATAATCCTCAGTCCGGTGTCCCTTGACTTTTTTTTTTACCAATACATAGTCCAGACGAAAAAGTGCTTCCGACTGTTATCACTAAGTGAACCGTTCGACATTTAGCGTTATACCTGTCCCTGAGAGCGCCAGCGCGGCGGTATCGGTGCAGAGGTGCTCGGGTAGGCGTCTCCTCCCACCTACCTGTCCTTGAGGAGCGCCAGCGCGGCGGTATTGGTGCAGAGGTGCTCAGGTAGGCGTCTCCTCCCACCTACCTGTCTCTGAGGAGCGCCAGCGCGGCGGTATCGGTGCAGAGGTGCTCAGGTAGGCGTCTCCTCCCACCTACCTGTCTCTGAGGAGCGCCAGCGCGGCGGTATCGGTGCACAGGTGCTCCAGCAGTCGCACCAGCAGCCACGTGACCTGTGACGTCACGCCCAGGCTGGAGAGCAGCCGATGTAGCGACAGGTAGAAGTCGCATGTCAGCTGAGCGTCGGCCGAGAAGACGCCCAGGTCCGACACGACAAACAGGATCTGAGTGGAGAGAAGGTGTGAGATATGAGGTACCGATGGTAATGGGAGACAATGGGCCAAATATCTTAGTAAAAGTGGCATAGCAGAAAAAGTGCTGTTTTATCTCAGTTGTATCCTCATCAATCTGAAGTATATCCTCTCTTAGCAAGTAAAAACCCGTCCAATTAGTGCATGAGTGAAGTACCTATGCCCTATACCTATCCTGCAACCTTGCTAAGTAGGCATTGGCTTTTCATGCTTGGTCCCAGGCCAATGCTCTTCACTCTTTAAATTGCGAAGGAACTAGTCAAAGCAGAGAAGTTCAATGCACAATCAGAAACAATACTTGGTAAATGCTCATGCATTTATATATGTCCTTTGGGCCTTTATATACCCCTTGATACAAACCTTGATGTGTCTCTGCAGTTGAGTGAGACTTTTGCTGCTCTCTGTTTTCCTATATGTGTCTGCTGCAGTGATGAAATTTCTTATCTGCTCTGTTGCAGCCATGGCTGAAATAGGACACATTTAACATTTAGCTAGCTTTTGTAAAATACATTGATGGAAATGTCATATCTGCAGCAAGTGACACCAAATCATGCGAAATGCTATTGGAAAAAAACAAACATTAAAAGTAGCCAAACCTTACAATGAACACCTACTACTATAGCCAACATAACATTTCAACCCATGCACCTACAAAGGAAGACACTGCACCTCTAGGGCGGTGTTTCACGGGCTGCTGCTACCACGCTGCTATCAAATTGCGCGAGCTGACGTCACACTTGTGGTAGTGTTGGAGCAATGGGCCTGTAGATGTCTCCATGGAAACCCAATTTGACAAGTCGTAAAATCGGCGTGCTGCTATCACCGGTGAAACAGGGCCTAGGTCAAGGTAGGTGGTAGGTACAGCCCTCTGCAAACTGCGTGGTAGGTATTCTTTTTTTGACAAAACCGAGAATATCGCGGATACTATGCTATCGGTCACTCGGAAATCGTAACAGCAAGACGTGCGAGACTCGGCACCTTAGATGGGCATTAACATCGTATTCATTTTCCATCCAGTTTGGCAACAAAACCCAAAAGTTAATATTTGCCCCCAAAACAAACTGCTGCATTTTGTTGCCACACAAAGCATATACTTTGATTAGTGATAGACCCAATCGATTCCTTATACTGGAAATTACCTACCATGGACAAGAAATTTTACCCAGGTCCAGGGTTTGGGTGTCAGCTTACTGAAAATTGTCAGAAGTCTGACATCCTAGCTAGTCATTCATTTACACCCTATATCAAAATCAAGGTCATCATATTAGGCAATGAAGCATCAGTATCAGCACAACACCTCAATACAGCATAAATTTAATTCCAGCACTGCTCAACAATGAGCGCTGCATCACATAACTGAAGATTTTCATAATTATTGATGGAGTTAAGTGCTTGTGCGAGGAACATTGTAATAGTTATTTGAAAATATATAAGCATGACTTTTCCTCGATATTGAATAAAAAAAAGTGCCGAAAAATGTACTTTATTGATAGAAAATATGTGATATTTCGGCCACTGGCCTTTGTCGAACATATATAATCAAGATCTTGATTATATATCACATATTTTCTATCAATAAAGTGCATTTTTTGGCACTTTTTTTATTCAATATCGAGGAAAGGTCATGCTTATATATTTTCAAATAACTATGAAGATTTTCATAACTCAACAAAAGCTGATGCCTGATTACCTCCTAGAGATGAGATTTCCTCAAAATTGCTATGCTGTGGATTTGCAGCTTGGTTCAAGATCAACATGAGTTAACAAATTGAGAAACACCTTAATTAACTCTAGCTTTCAGCATAAATTCTGGAACTGTGATCCGAGCCCCGAGGGGTGTTCATGGGCACTGCGGCACCGCAAACTGTTGAGTGTGGTGTGTGCAGCAGGCATGGGGGTAGGGGATGGGTAGGCAGTTCTGACATCATGGCTGCGTGCGGTGGACGGTTTCCTGACCGGCCACAGCGGTCGCTGTGTGCGGTGACGGAAGGTCGGAGGATGACATAGGGACCTATTAGGCAGATCTTAGACTTTAGAGCCTATGTACGGTCTGACAACATGCAGGGCCCGTGAAAAGCCCTAGCTGAGGACAGCAGACATAAAAAGCAAAGGTTAAGACTTCATTTATAAAAAGGCTAATGAGATAATTTCCAGCTAAATTTCTTCCTACTTTCACCCAGGCGCCGCGCCCATTTCACGATACATCTTTTAAAAAATGGTTCAGTTCTGGTTCATGGCTCGGGCTGCAGATATCTGATATTTTGAAGTTTTTGAATTGGAAGTTGGAACTATAAGAACAAACAAAAGTAATTAAGTAAGTAAGCCACTGAAACGTCAAAAACAAAACAATACCTACCGAAATTGCGGTCTTATTACTTTGTGCACGTATTTGGCGACGATTTTTTTCTAATTTACAAGGCCTCTTTCTTCACTCAATATACCAATACCCTGTCTTTCTTCTTCAAACACACACGCGAACCTGCACGCGAACGACCGATGAACAATAAACAAATCGAAATGTTCAAAATCAGCGCCGCTTCTGGCAGCTGAGTATTGCTGCCATATCATCCAGCCGCGTTGATACCAAATCGAAGTTTTACTTCACGCACCTAAAAGAAATTACAAGTTTTCCTCCATCTCATTTGCACAGTGGATGTCGCGCTGGGATAAACGAAAGCGGTGCTTACTGCTTACCGGCTGAATGATGACCGACCGTGCGAGCGTTGTGCAATATTCTTTCCAGAGTATTATATCCCGATTACGGGCAACCTTGTAATCGTGCGAGAATTGACCTTGTTGTTCGAAATGAACGTTCCACCGGTGATCTGGTTCGACCAACGCAAACAATGTTATAAATGGCACGGGCATTATAGAGTTCAGTGGGCAGGGGCAAATGAGACATTAGCGTCAGAGATTAAATATTTTCACTCAGCTGTCGGATTCATGCGATAGTTGCTGCTATTGCTCCTCAGATTAAACAGTCGCTTTTATGGCATTTATTTCTGCAGCTAACAGCACTACTTCATAAAACGGCCAAGTCATTAGTACTGTAGATAACGATAAATAGTCAGCGCACTAAATGACAGCTTTTTCTCAGTTTCCACCAGCCAAAAAATGAAGACTTACGAACAAAAAGCTATACAACGTTTATATTGATTACACCTTGTGCTTCTCTAGGTTGCGCGTTCTTCCTTCCCCGCCGAAGCAAACACACCGACACACACACACACAATCACTGCGTAGGTATGCTGCCCATCCCGCCAAACGCGCACATTTCTCCGACTTGTATTCCCGATTTAAAGACATCGCCATAGCAGCGTTCCTGTCATCAGTCGTGTGCCATTCTCGGCGCTCTCCTGTCCTATCCAATGTGGGTGTCAGACCACCCAGCAGAAAACGTAAGTTAGACCGGCTTCTGCTGCCGACCTGTGACGCAAGCACACACAACAATCACCAGTGGCGGGCGGGGAGGGGACGGTCGCAGCAGGCAGGGTCGCCATACGCCGCGCTCGCAGCGCCGGCCGATGGTTACAGGGCCGACCGGTAGATGGCAGGCCACACGCTAACCACCACCGCGCGCCAGAAGATTCGCTGTCGATCCGTCACGGTGGGCGCCTCAGACCTCATTCACATCTCCCATCCGACCCCACGCGAGTCCCCACGACGGACCTACGGCGGCGGCGGCCCCATCGGCGTCTCCTGGGGCGCCGGCAGCGGCGTCCCGGCGTCATGGAGCGGGCCAACTCGGCCGGGGCGGCGCTCGGAGCCACTCAGCCACTGTCAGCGGCTCGGCGGCCCGCTCAGGACGCCGCCGCCGCCGCCGGGACGGCCGGACCTAGGCGCCGGGAGCGTTACGCAGCCGGCTCCGGCTCAGCGTCACCGTCATCGTCCTCGGCGAAGTTGAGCCACGACTGTTCGACGATGGCGGCGACGCGCTTCTCGTACTCTCGCCGGTTCTCCTGGTAGAGCTGCGCGGCCAGCGAGTTGGCCGGAGAGTTGGGGTTCGGCTCGTCCAGCAGCGACTGACGGCAGAGCGGGGAGGGAGAGGTCAGAGGGCAGCAGGGAACAGCCCAGAGATGCTTGTCAGATGACCAAGGGACGAAGTGACGAATAGACCAGACACGTGCACACACGTTAAATGGACCAAGGATGTGGTAAAACATGCTAGCATTTGTAACATGTCAGCCGAATGACGACTAATAGGTGAGGCAAAACTACCGACTTCTTTCGCGGCTTGCGGAGTGGTGAAACAGGCATACAACCATCCACTGATCTGCCTGCTCAATTGACGAGGTCAAAAGCGAGTCATTAGGTCAGATAAGCAATGACGCCAAGACGTCAGATACCTAACCAAAAAGAAGTGGTCACAGACGTAACAAACACACAAGCGGGAAGAGAGGCGACCAAAGCATTATTCCAGGAGCAAAAACCTGACACCATGGCTACTGGTAAATCTCAGCACTATTTCAAAAACACCAAACAACCAAAGCTACATACAAGTCAGAGCCCGACCTACACCATATACGCCTGAAAGGTTGAACGCCAAACCGGCACACCGTCGCGATACGGTCTCGCATCTGCCGGGCCATCATTTCCGCAGTCCAAACCAGATGAAACAAACGGGAATGACGGCCACTTTTGTAGGAACACTGCGGTCGTGTTCCAGCGCCGGCGATTGCGCTCTGCAACCAGAACCGGAAAGTCTTTACAAGACCACACGGTGCTGGCCACGTTGTGTTTGGTTGCAGTTCTAGGCAACGTTTGTAACCAGTTTTAGAATCACCCAGGCGAGTCAGTTCGGCGGCAATTTTTCGCTCTCCATTCCGCTGTCAGTTGACGTGAAAACGCAACGCCGGCCAGGAATGCTCTTTGTCTTCAAACATTTTTGGACACGCTATCTTGATGCGAGCAAAGTTGCAGAAAATGCTCGGAAAGGAGTGACTTACAGATTAGCGTTCGGTGTCCACTTCCAAAGCGGCACGGGCCGTCACCAAACACAGTCGGCATTGTCACAGGTGGATGATCGCACCACTCATAAGGCCGGAACGGACCCACACCGCGAACACAACACACAATAACAGTATCAGTGACAGGAACACAGGCCCTGACCCACTCCACCGACCGTTCAATTCATATCGGTGTTTGCAGGCGGTGCGTGCAATAATGACAATCACTCTGTCAGTTACCGTCACGCCAGCCTCCGCTCCCACAATCACATGTCAATATGTCTGTGGAACGGCTCGCCTCGTTCCACCGACGAACATCCCCATCGATAGATGCACAGGCGTTCATATCACATCAGTGACAGCACGTCGCCCAGACAGCCACAAACACCGACAAGGCGACAAGACACATGACATGGCCAGGCCTCCTCCGCTGAAAAAAAATATCACTAATAGCAGACCCACACAGCCCAACCAAAACATAAACTCATGAAGCAGTAGCCGTCTGCGGTACCTGTCTGTCCTTGCCGATAGCGTGAACGGATTGAACCCGACCGGCCGGCGCGTGACGAAAAAGTACCGGGCACCGCTGAGCCGGCGGACCGAGTAACGGGATATCGGCAGGGTGGGACCTTCGGCAAACGGCCGGCGGCATGCCAGCCGACCGCCACGGCCGTGGAGTCCGCTACTCGGCCGTACAGCTGATGGCGCCGGCAGCACCGGGAAACCGTGACCGGCGGCCGGCGGTCCCCCTGCCGGCTGCCCCCCCCCCCCTCCCGGCCGGCACACGCTCACTGAGCACAGTGTCGGCCGCTTACAGCACGCTCACTCGGCCTACAATGCCGCTCACCAGGCATGGAGGCTCGACAGGGACTCGGTAAAGCCAGGAAAGCAGACCTCGGCAGGCGCTCAACCGCAATCCAACGTTACGGTGCGTGGAACAAAGCCAGGAGGGCGGTCCGAGCCGCCTGCACATCCCCCGTCTCAAACACACCAGCTGTGGATAGACCTCTAGATGTCTCCATGTCTGATTGTTTGGCTGCCTTTGATGTCCATAGCTACATGTCTGGCTCTCATTCTACACAGCCGCTCCACTGTTTTGGCCAGCGCCGACGGTCCGCCGTCGCCCAGCCACCCGACCGTCAGCACGGCGGCAGCGCTCGGCGCGGCGGCGGCCGGTTGGCTCGCGTGCGGATTCGGGCGCGCCTCGCGTCGGGTGCGTGCCACGGGCCGGCCGCGCCACAGCGGTGCGTTATTTGGGCCGGCGCTATCTGTCACCGTCAGTGCTAGCCCAGACTCCCCCCCCCCAGATCAGCCAGACTGCAGACCGGTCGAACTGCAACTGCCGCGGCGGCAGTGGACGGGGGGAGGGCTGCAATCGAGCGGAAACTCCGACAGCCTGATAACCAAACAAATCAACCGTTCAACAGCTGAATATTTGGATAGAAGGTCGAGAGCGCAGCCCACCGCTCACTCCACAAATCACGAGAGACGACAACTGATGAATAAATAGGCAGTCAAAATGCAACTGACTAAAATATCGAGTAATGCTAAAGACGAGATAGTTAACAAAGCAAAACTGCTCGGGGCATGGATGAAACTTTGTGTCAGCACGCTAGTAATAAAAAACATCTTGGATTCGGAAGTCAAACGGCCAGCCTGACATCGTTCAATCGCATACCAACTGGACTTGCTCCACAACTAGTCGGTACAAGTTGTGTACCAAATAGTCGCTAAAAGCATGGAATCGATCAACGGTGAACGGCTAGTATCTGTGCCACCTCTGGAACAATCGATGTCCCAAAACATCGCAGGAACCGAGAGAAGAAATAACTAGGAATACTAGCTCAGGAGCTGGATGCAAGTCTGCGGCGGCTAACCGCTGCAGATGTCTGCTAGTTTGGTGTCATCACCCCGGCTTCGCAAGGTGACTGCCACGGTCATATCACGTCTGGAAAATCCAAGTTCCTTCATCCGCTGACAGGATAGACAGAAAACAAATGTGCTTGCGTGTCTGATAAAGGTAAATAATCGTCGCAATACCCTTCGTTTCTTACGTCACATTGTCTTCTGTCACCAGCATCAATATTCGATTATAATCACAAGGGTAGAACAGCGAATGAGGTTATTGTAAATGTGGTAGGTATGTACATCGGTAATGAGGGTGACCGTGGGTATACGAGTGAAATATTACACCAACAGGCAGACTCAAACAATCCAAATGACGTTTAACATTTACCCCCCATCCCCGTCTCCATTCCAAGCTCTATGAACCTGTATGGATGTGAGAATGGCGGACACATCGTAGGTGGGACTCCAGCGGTTCTGCAGAATGTCCAGGCAGATGCCGCCGTCCGCGTACACGTTCGGATGGAACATCTTGGACATGAAGCGCACCAGAGGCGGCTTGTTGGGGTACTCCTCAGTGAACTCCATGATGAGCTTGAACGTGCCGTCCTCAAAAGGTGTGTCGTGCGGCCTGTGAAACAGATAGAATAGACGGTGGTTAGGTGGGTGAATGGAGCTAGAAGAGACGTTGAATGAGTGAGGCGTGAGCCAACGAGGA